GTCCGTCCGTCCGTCTGTCCGTACGTCCCGAAATCTTGTGAACGCAACTCCTCTTAAACCGGATGGCAGATTTTGCTTAAACTTACAGGGATGAACAACCTTAATGTGAAGATGGTAGTAAAGGAAGGAATTTATGCTGCGACCAAATTTAACAGAATTATGACCCTTTGTTAATTTTTTCACTATGTACTATGTAGAAATTTTGTGAACGCAACTCCTCTTAAACCGGATGGCAGATTTTGCTTAAACTTACAGGGATGAACAACCTTAATGTGTAGATGGAAGTAAAGGGAGGAATTTTTGCTGCGACCAAATTTAACAGAATTATGACCCTTTGTTAATTTTTTCACTATATACTATGTAGAAATTTTGTGAACGCAACTCCTCTTAAACCGGATGGCAGATTTTGCTTAAACTTACAGGGATGTAAAACCTTAATGTGTAGATGGTAGTAAAGGGAGGAATTTTTGCTGCGACCAAATTTAACAGAATTATGGCCTTTTGTTGATTTTTTCACTATATACTATGTAGAAATTTTGTGAACGCAACTCCTCTTAAACCGGATGGCAGATTTTGCTTAAACTTACAGGGATGAACAACCTGAATGTGTAGATGGAAGTAAAGGGAGGAATTTTTGCTGCGACCAAATTTAACAGAATTATGGCCCTTTGTTTATTTTTTCACTATGTACATGTACTATGTAGAAATTTTGTGAACGCAACTCCTCTTAAACCGGATGGCAGATTTTGCTTAAACTTACAGGAATGAACAACCTTAATGTGTAGATGGTAGTAAAGGGAGGAATTTTTGCTGCGACCAAATTTAACAGAATTATGGCCCTTTGTTTATTTTTTCACTATATACTATGTAGATATTTTTTGAACGCAACTCCTCTTAAACCGGATGGCAGATTTTGCTTAAACTTCCAGGGATGAACAACCTTAATGTGTAGATGGTAGTAAAGGAGGGAATTTTCGCTGCGACCAAATTTAAAAGAATTATGGCCCTTTGTTGATTTTTTCACTATATACTATGCAGAAATTTTGTGAACGCAACTCATCTTAAACCGGATGGCAGATTTTGCTTAAACTTCTAGGGTTGAACAACCTTCATGTGTAGATGGTAGTTAAGGAAGGAATTTTTGCTGCGATCAATTTAACAGAATTATGGCCCTTTGTTGATTTTTAGTTTTCAGCTTGTGTCACATGTAGTCCAAAAAAATATTTGACCTAAAGTATTAAGATTGACAGAACAGTGGCCTGTGGGGGCATCTGTGTCCTATGGACACATTTCTAGTTTTCTTATGTGTTTAAAAGACATTTTTGGTATTAAAGATTTTAATTTCCTTTAAATTGTACCTGTGCTTAAGTTTTGGAATATTTTCATGTTAAGATATTAGCATAATTCTGATGAGTTTATTGACTTCTGTTTAATGGTGTGGGGAGGGGGGGGGGCGGGTTTATAATATAATCTGACTGTCTCACCAATATGCAGGCCTTATTACCAGCAGTTTAGTCAGATATTAACTGTTCAAAAATAGAATTAAATAATCATGCATGCTGATCCAAGTAGTCTTCAGTAAAATTATTGTGTATAAAACGTTAATTATACATGGAACATTTTTCTTGTATGCCAGTATGTAGCTGTAATGGAATATTTCATGGCTTTTTATCCTGATCAAGGTCTAGAATTATTTTTGCCAACCATATTATTTGTGATGTTTGGAGTTGATATTTTCCTGCTGTAAATTCTTCATAATTACACAATTTATCATTTTACATTTGATATTACTGTAGGAAACAAAATAATGGTATGTATTGTCTGCAAGTTTCAGTGATTGTATTTTGGGAGAATTTCAAAGAGACAAAATATATCCATGTTCTTGGTCTCTAAGAATTTTTAGGAATAAGTTTATGATGGTATATCTGTTATATTACTGCATATCACTCACCTGAATAGGGGGACACCTCAATCACATGGTTATATAACCTCTATTCTTGGATGTGGCAAAAAAATTGTTGACAATTGATCTCGGATATTGTTTCTTATGGTCATTTGTCTCACACCGCTGATTCAGACATCATAGGGGATTAATAGTTGGTCACTTGTGAAGATATTGGTTATTTTTCCAGGAAAGCCAGTCTGACTGGACTGGCTTATATATGACCAAAAAATGTGTTGAAATTGGTATAATGACCAAACAAACAGCATTCACATATAAAAACTAGCGTCTTATTACTGCTTCTAGAAAATTTAGATGAGTGACCATAGAACTTGTTTTAAATTGTGTCAAAAGTATAGTTAATATTTGAACTGTTCTAAAATCTATCTGCAAATCAAGGGGGAAAACATGACAATGTACATGTTTGTCTCCATGTTAAAGTTTAAAAAACTTTACATCAAAAATCTTTGTTAATTCAATATTTTGAGAACAGTTCATAAAAGTTGATAGAAACTTAAAGAAAATTTGATGTGGAAGAAGCTTTAATTTAAGTCTTACTTGAATAACACAATATATGTTTCTTTATAGTAATACCAGTACTGGTAAATCCAATAAACCAGTACTGGAATATATAGCATTTATAATTGATGTGAACCAGTGAGAGTAAAAAGATTAATGTTTCACTATAGAGATTGTATCAATATGTTTTAAGTATATTGTACTTTAGGAATAAAGTTTGATATGACAGTTCTGGGAGATGAGTACATAGAGTCATATCTGTTCATGTATTACATATTATATAATGTAATGGTCTGTTAAATTGTACAGCTTTATCACAACCATTTCTTCTGACCATCGTTGTATGTTCAACATCATTATACTGTTAGGAATATCGTCACTTTAAGTGATAATGAACAAAAAAATACACAATGAAATTGTGAAACATGACTTAAATAAGAATTAGGGCAGTTACAGAAATAAAACATATATGTGACAGGAATATGATAAAGAGTGTTACAGTCACTACTGGTAGATCATCATATATTCTAGTTGAATGTAGCTGTGACAGTAAGTGACAATAATAATCTAGTAGCATGATGTCCACTTACCAGCCATTTAGTCTACCTTGTCATCTACACATATATTACCTACAATTATAGTTTGTGACAAATTTGTTACTATGGTAACAGATTTTCTGATTTAGAGAAGACCTGAATTACTTTGATGTTCACATGACTTATGAAGTTATATGATAACAAAATAGACATATGCAGGTTAAATAATAGTTGAACAGCAAGAAACAATCATAAATTATATTCTGTTCCATAGGGAGCTGCAATTATAAATAACATTTTATGGAGTAATCATTAATTTCAGGGAAATAATTCTGTGTTGTTAAACAATGGAAATAATTACGTAATGGATTACAGCTTGATGTAATTAATATAAAAGTGAAGTTAAGGAGGCTTGATATAAAATGTAAATATATAGAATAGAGTTGTCTATGTGTGATCTAGTAGTGAGAAATGGAACTTGTTTAAATGTAACATAGTTTATATTTTGATCTATTTTGAATAAATGGTAGGTATGAAATTGTTATGACTTATAAGCTGCAATATTTTATGAAAGTCCCTATATTTATCTATAAATAAATCATGATGTAACTTCTCCGAATTTGTTCATTATAGTATAAAATATAAAAGCGATCTATTTATATAAAATCATTATGTAAGCTTTTCTGTTGTAAGACTGCAAAGTCACTACTGAAGTATAGGTGGGCTGTATTAACTTGCTACATTGTTTAAACACATTGCTTTGACGGCTTTATTTAAGTTATTTACAAGGTGAAGGTTAATCTTGATTACATCCACATAAAACTCTTAAAGGGTTCACATAGAAAAGATAGTGAGCTATGAGGAGTTTAGAGTAAAGTAATGTGACATTAAATTGAATGGGGAGGTAGAGGGTTGGGTGTGTGAGCCCTTAATTGAGTTTTATGTGGAAAAAATAATGATAACCCTTCACCTTATAAATAACTTGACACATAAATGTTCACCATTGTGAGACAGTGTCACATACAAAATTTAAGGGGAGCGGTGGCCTAGTTGTTAAGGTGTCTGCCTCTCAACCCAGAGATCATGGGTTCGAGCCCTACTCAGGTCACGACCATGTTTCTTCATATGACACCAGCACTGGTTGGTTCCAGGAAGCGGACTCGAAAGTGATTAATATAAGTTGCAAGAACTTGTTTCGCAATCGAGCTTAAATAAATTTGTTTAAACCAAAACATACAAAATTCAGGTTGTTGTTGTCAAGGTTAAGATTACACATAGAGGTCAAAGGTTGGAAAGAAATATGAAAATGTGTGTACAGTGTATTGACCATTAAGTCATCACATATTGAAGGATTTAACATAAACATTCACCATAATGAGAGAAAGAGTGTTACATGAATAATTCAGTATTTGTGATGGGCCTATTTTGTGACAATGGCACTGTTCTTAAACTAGGCTATATCACTTACAAATATGCACTGCCTTAAGTGAAAGAAAGGGAATGTAGGAAAATATATATATTTACAAAGGTAACTGTAGTCTCTATCAAGGAAATAAGATTTCATTGATGTATTTTAAAGCTCATATGACTTGCTTGCAATGTGTAAACCTATAACCAACATAAATTACAACAAATTGTGTTTTGAACTTGTTATTAATATATTCAGTATTCTTATAATCAGAGTATTCGTTGGAAATGTCTAGATTTGTTTAAACAATGCCCTACATATAAAAATTGTAAGAATTGAAATTGCATGGTCATGATACAAGGGTGCTCTTAGCTTCGTTCCTAGTAACAGAAACAATGTTAACTGCATAAGTTAGAAGTGTAAAATCAACTACAAATATTGAATTAATCATGATAGTTTTTGTATTCATGGAGTATTTTTGTTCCCCTGAAAATATTATGTCTTCATCTGAAATTTATGTTGAATGTTTCCTACATATTAAGCTTCTGAAGTAAAGGAAGAATGTTATAATTGAGATATTTTGTGATATTTTCAGGATTGTAAAGTAGTGAGTGCAGAGAGATATAAGGAATTAGAGGAGACCAATGAAACTCTGAAGAAAGAGATACAGAAGCTAGAACGTGCTCAAAGTGATACAGACAGACTTGTAAGAACCATTTTGTTTATGTACTCATTTATACTCCAGTCATTGTTAGTAAACCTTTTGTTCAGTTTTAAAAATTATGAAAGATAATTTAGAGAAAAAAATTATGCCTTAAATTCAATAATTTTAACACAATGGTTTGCTTTAAGAAATCACAATGTATGAATGACTGTCCCCTGACAGAATAGTAGTACACAGGAATGCTGACACAAAGCCTTTGATTTGTAAATATATATGGCCCCTTTCAATATATTAACACTAATTTAGATCAACTAAAAAGATACATTCAATTGTTTACGACTGCGGCTTTCTGGGCAAACAACAACAGGAGTGACGTTCATCTTCAGGTAAATGATTGTCTCCACTTTGATGGTTAGAACTTAATAAATTTAATAAAATTACTGCTGAGCATTAGGTGATGTAGTCTCCAGAAATGGACAAATGTTTGAGGTATTTTAGTCAAAAGAAAATGCAAAGTCTACATACTTAATATTGCCTTTATGCTATTCTGTGAATGATTGAATTTTATACAGACCTTAATGACAGGAAAATAGATAGTCAATTATTTTTGACATTTTTAGTTAAAATAATATCTATAAGTTGTAATTATCAGTAATCTAGGTTGTAGCCACTATGTAAATTTCAATAACAATTATCTTAATACTGATCTCAATAACCCCCTCCCCCCAGGAAAGCAGTCTAAAAATTATGTTTGAAAAGCCTATGTTTGTGAAACTTTGTATGGCCATTAACAATGGCCCCTTTTGATTTAGCAGTCATACTAAAAGGCAGCACTGAAACTTAGTAGGGCATGGTCCCTATTGATTTTTTATCGTAATAAAAGGAAACACTGAAACTTAGTAGGGCATGGTCCCTATTGATTTTTTATTGTTATAAAAGGAAACACTGAAACATAGTAGGGCATGGTCCCTATTGATTTTTAGCTCGACTATTCGAAGAATATGAGAGCTATTGTAGTCGCCCCGGCGTCGGCGTCAGCGTCCGCGTCGGCGTCTGCGTTGGTTAAAGTTTTTTGTAAAGTCGAATATCTCAATTATTGCTTGAGATATTCAATTGAAACTTACAATACTTATTTATAGAAACAATGTACATCAGATTGACAAGTTGGATAACTCTGCCTACAATATTGACAGAATTATGCCCCTTTTTAACTTAGAAATTTTGGTTAAAGTTTTTTGTAAAGTCAAATATCTCAATTATTACTTGAGATATTCAATTGAAACTTACAATACTTATTTATAGTAACAGTGTTCATCAGATTGACAAGTTGGATAACTCTGCCTACAATATTGACAGAATTATGCCCCTTTTTAACTTAGAAATTTTGGTTAAAGTATTTTGTAAAGTCAAATATCTCAATTATTGCTTGAGATATTCAATTGAAACTTACAATACTTATTTATAGTAACAATGTTCATCAGATTGACAAGTTGGATAACTCTGCCTACAATATTGACAGAATTATGCCCCTTTTTAACTTAGAAATTTTGGTTAAAGTTTTTTGTAAAGTCAAATATCTCAATTATTACTTGAGATATTCAATTGAAACTTACAATACTTATTTATAGTAACAATGTACATCAGATTGACAAGTTGGATAACTCTGCCTACAATATTGACAGAATTAAGCCCCTTTTTAACTTAGAAATTTTGGTTAAAGTTTTTTGTAAAGTCAAATATCTCAATTATTGCTTGAGATATTCAATTGAAACTTACAATACTTATTTATAGTAACAATGTACATCAGATTGACAAGTTGGATAACTCTGCCTACAATATTTACAGAATTAAGCCCCCTTTTAACTTAGAAATTTTGGTTAAAGTTTTTTTTGTAAAGTCAAATATCTCAATTATTGCTTGAGATATTCAATTAAAATTTACAATACTTTTTTATAGTAACAATGTACATCAGTTTGAAAAATTGCATAACTCTGCCTGCAATATTTGCAGAATTATTTGCCCCTTTGAAACTTAGAAATTTTGGTTAAAGGTTAAAGGTCTTCAAAGATATTTACTTGAAACTTTACACATGTACTTAGGGTCATAATTGGAGAGTCATAATTGTATGTCACTGATCAAGTTCCATAACTCTACTCGCATTTAGGCTGATTCATCTCCCCTTTTCTACTTAGTCTCTTGGTTAATGTTTACATGCAAGTTTTACATATCTCAATAACTATTAAAGATATTTATTAACAACTTCACATAGGCATTTAGAATCATAATTGGAGGTCACTGACCAAGATCCATAATTCTATCTTGCATTTAGGCTGATTTTTCTCCCCTTTTTCAACTTAGAAATTTATGGTAAAGTTTTGCTTTGTAAGCTGTTATCTCCATAACTACTGAAGAGTTTATGCCTTTTTTAGGACATTTTTATGCATTCATAATAATAAAGCAGTGATTTACTCGATAAAACATCTTAATAACAAGCCTTTGTACCTTTTCGGTCAATTTTATGTATTCATAGTTAATTAGCATTATTATTCTCAATAAAACACCCTTGTGACAATTTTTGAATAGTCGAGCCAATACTGTCCTCCGACAGTTCTTGTTTATCGTTATAAAAGGCAACACTGAAACTTAGTAGGGCATGGTCCCTATTGATTTTTTTATTTTAATGAAAGGCAACACTGAAACTTAGTAGGTAAATTGTAATGTATATCAATCAGACTGTATTGTGGTGGAAACCACCTTGACATATTTTGCTTTTTATAGGGCATGACTGTATCACATGCACAAGTACTACTTGACAGATTGTATTGTGATTAAATGATAGGAATTTAGGCTTTATATTTGCTTCATTTGCTGTCAGACCAGACTCTAAACTGCTGGCTGCTCAATTCAAAGTTTTTGATATTAAAAACTATTTTATTATGCCCCCGCCATGTAATGGCCGGGGCATATAGTGTTACCCTGTTCCGTCCTTCCGTCCTTCCGTCATTCCGTCCTTCCGTCATTCCGTCCTTCCGTCATTCTGTCATTCCGTCATCATCAGTTTCCGTTTCATTATCTTAGTAACGGTTGCACACATTCAACTCAATTTGGGACATATGGATATGTCATGAGAAAATACAGGTCAAGTTCGAATTTGGTCATGGGTTCGAAATGATTTTTGGCAGAGTTATGCCCCTTTACTTTAAAAAAATGAAATTTTTCAGTTTCCGTTCATTATCTCCCCAACGGTACAACACATTTCAACTCAAAACTTGACATATTGGGATATGTCATGAAAAAAATTACAGGGTCAAGTAATCGAATTGGTCATGGTTCGATTATTTTTGGCCAGAGTTATGCCCCTTTCACTTTGAAATAATATGAAATTTTCATTTCCCGTTCATTATCTCCCCAACGGTACAACACATTCAACTCAAATTTGACATATGGATATCATCATGAGAAAATACAGGTCAAGTTTGAATTTGGTCATGGTTCGATGAAATTTTGGCAGAGTTATGCCCCTTTCACTTTGAAAATAATATGAAATTTACAGTTTCTGTTCATTATCTAACCCAACAGTGTTACATATTAAACTCAAATTTGACATATGAATATGTCAAAGGAAGGCGTAGGTCAAGTTTAAATTGGTCATGGTTCGATGATTTTTTGGCAGAGTTATGTCCCTTTCACTTTGAAAATAATATAGATACATCTTAGGAATAAGCAGTTTAAGTTTGAATTTGGTCATGGTCAATGATTTTGGACAAACTTATCTTTCTTGAATGTTGGAAAAATTTTGAACTTTTCAGTTTCAGCACTCATACTTTTGTGGAAATGTATGTAGCCATTATTTTGGCTACAAATATGAAATATGCTTTTTGCAAAAGGTTAAAAACTGAATAATTTCAGTGCCTTGAACATTGTATATGAAAATAGTTTGTGTAACATTGAAAAGTTTTAAGGGCTTTTTGAAACTTAAAATTAAAAAAAATAATTTGTGCAAACAAATTGGAACTAAATATTATAAACATCTGAAATTTTGGCTGCATGCGGGGGCATCCGTGGCACGATGACACATTTCTAGTATAATAATGGACTGTTCCGAAGTAAAATATCAGGGGTAGTCCACTATTGAATGAAATAAGAATCTGGCTGCCTGGCAGACTAATATGTTAACTGTTTACTGTGGTAAGGCTTTGCTAATTTTCTGCTTAACAGTAATACCAGAGAGCTAGATATGACAGCTGATGTTTGATTCTTTTCTTGCACAGTAAATATTAATCATATTTTGGATAGAAATACCGAAGACTAATATTTTTATTTAATACTTTTTTCTTAAATTATAATAATATTCCTGTCTGATATGTAAGAATTAAAAGTACATATCACCTATATCACACTATAATTGTAACAGTATTTACACTTTTAAAAAAAACCTAGAAGCTTTTCCTATTTTGTATTACCCCCTCTTTTTCTCTATATGTTAGATAACAATTTTCATCTGTCAGAATGAATGTAAATATGTTTGTTTTGACTTTATTTAGACTATAGAATAGATTCATAGACGGAAAATAATAGGGAATGATATGTATCAGCCATATAGAAATGGTAAAATTATGCAGTTTAGAATGTGTAAAAGTCAGCCCAATTATCTGTTTTTTCTCCAGGAAATGTTCTGGTAGTGTAAAATATTTATGCCACTGAAGTGTCTTGTGATGGGTTTTGGCAATGTAGCAATTATCACTTGTATGTGTGTGTGTGTGTGTGTGTGCTGAGTGTCACCAAAAATCTTCTTTTCAAAATCCCTAAATCTCATTCAACCAAACTTGGCTTGATTGTTCTTAGAATTTAAATTGTGGGGAAATCTTGTTGCCATGGCAACTGCAAGAAATAATAGGAAAAATATGAAAATACTTTTCTCCAGGATTACAAGGCATAGATATTTTGCTGGAGGCATTGTCTTGTGGACCTCTATCAAAATTTTTAGCTTTACTTTTTGAAAAAAGTGCAGCTTTTGTTATGACTCAGTGTAAGTTAACTGTTTTGGTTAAATTTTTTGTTTATATGGTTATTGGCTTCAAAATTGTGTAAAATGTTAGGACTTAGGAATGTTCATAAAAAATATAAAATATAGGCACTTTAAATGATTTAAAATAAATTATGTGTTCAATTTTTACACTGTTATTATAAAATTAAATTGCCATTACATCATCATTTACAAAACTGAAAATTACTGTCTTTATAACAGTTACTATTTTTGTATTATTATTTGATTAGTTTCTGTTGGCTGCACTATTAAAATCTCTATAAAATAATGATAATTGACACTTCCAATTTCTGGTCACCAATAGTCTAGTACACACATATAGCATTGTTAACAATAAACCCATTTCCTTTATATTATATGAACTAATTTGAGAAGAAAAATGAGTTGTGTTACTGGTATTAGTACATTTATTTAAGTTGTATACTACTAATTGTCCTATATAAAGAGATGAAAATTAATCTAAAGAATAATATGAAAAAATGAAATGTAATTGTAGAACAGAAATAAATTCTCAATCAGAAAACCGTTGATAAAGGAAAATAAAGGGAACTAAATATGCATTGATTCTTTTGAGAATTCTTCTAGCAGTTAAGTCCCTTGAAAAATAAACCATGAAACCTTCATTATACAAAGATTAAAGAATATAATTATGTTTGAGTAAAACAAAAATTTTGTTAAATATTTACTGCCCAAATATTTTGTGTGCTAACAGCTATACTAAGACTTATGCCAACACCATACAGTTAAACTTAAAATTAATTTACCTGACTTTATACTAACATGGCTTTGGCGGGATATATAGATTTGCCCATACTGTTTATATGTAGACTAGTTTGTCCAAAGCCATGAAACTTGCTAAAATATTTGTCATTCATTTAAATTTAGAATTTTTAGACCTTTAAGTAATTTTTTGGAAAATCACTGAAGATTACTGTGTCATGGCCCCTCAATTTTAGCAAAAAATTAAGCATTTTTGGACTTACTTCAAAAAGATAACTGCTATACTTATTACACATGTTATTGTACAGGATATTTTTATCTGAGAAATACAGCAAAATGTGGGGACATCTGTGTGTCATATACATGTTGGTTGTAAAATTTAATACTGCAATCCTTATGTAATAAATGAATGGTTCAAATTCAAATCAACACAATTCTATAAATTCATTATAATTTGATCTGCCATTGGAGGTATAGTGGAAACTAAGTCCTACCTGTATGCTTGTGGCAGTGGTGCTGGATAAAACCAAAGGTATGCATGTGAAGTAACACACATTTCTACAGGATTATTAATATTAGGTCATTAAACAATTATAAAATTATTCATCTTTCATTTATGACATCGATATGTATTCATATATTAGAGATAGTCCATGTTTAAAGATATTATGTTATATTTCTAGGAAATAGAACTGACACAGAAGAAATTAGAGTGTGAAAGACTGACTAGAGATATCGAAGAGCAAAGAGAAATCTCTAAAACTCTTGTAAGTACTAATGATTTCACATATACAATATCAAGGCAGAATAGTCAGATTGTAACTTTAATACATGTACACCTGATTTACTTCATGATAAAAAATAACAGATACAGTTTCCATAACTATTCTCTCACATTGAACATGATCAATGTAAGGGATATGATAATAAAATAACAATGTATACATAAATACATATCTGGCTTCTTTGTATAACTGCATATCAAGCAAACAAACATTTCCTGCTGACATGTCTCATTATGTTATACAAATAAACAAAATACAAGTTTTATTACTGTTTGTACAGGAAATCAGAACTGTTTGAAAACTTCAACTAAGAATAAAAAATTCC